CGGGAGCCAGGCGGCGGCGGATGGCCCGATCGGGCGCGGGAGCGGGCCGGCGCTGGGCCTGCGGGCCCGCGTCGGTGGGAGGCGGCGGCGATGTGGACCGGTCGGCCGGGCGAATCACGACGTGACACGTGGCGGCGGCGGGCTATCCGGACATGTCCGCCTCGCGCGGTTTCGTCCGGCGGCGGCGGGAGAGATGGATCTAGGGTTAGGGGTGGTAGAGACCCGGGATTTACGAGGGGGGGGGTGTATATATAGGCATAAGTGGAGCTAGGAGAGTCCGAATGAGGTGCGGTTTTCGGCCACGCGATCGTGATCGAACGCTCTAGGACATGGAGCAGAGTTTGGTGGGTTTTGGGCCAAATTGGAGGGGTGTTGGGCTGCAACACACACGAGGCCTTTTCGGTCCCTCGGTTAACCGTTGGAGTATCAAACGAAGTCCAAATGATACGAAACTTGACAGGAGGTCTACCGGTAGTAAACCAAGGCCGCATGACTAGTCTCGGTCCAATCCGGAGATGTTTAATCCCCACACACGAAAGAAAGCTAGAACTGGCCACCGGAGGAGAACGACGCGCCGGAATGCAAAACGGACAACGGAGAAAATGCTCGAATGCATGAGATGAACACGTATGCAAATGCAATGCACATGATAACATGATATGAGATGCATGAAAACGAAAACAACACACGGAGACAAAGACCCGAACCCGAGAAATAAATATAACTTAATGCCGGAAACGGCAAGAGTTGGAGTACAAATAGGGAAAGTTACATCCAGGGTGTTACATAACTATTCTTCATCATGTTGTGTGAAGTCGACATCATAATATGTACCTTTCTGGACTTGAAAGGATGTTTCTATTATTCTGTGGGAAAATTTTGTTTTTGCCACTCTAGATTTTGCCAATTTTCCTTATACCATTCTAGATTTTGACATTTCACTTTTGCCACTCTTAGCTTTTGACAATTATCACAATTGCCATTCCGTGGCAAAAGCAAAATAATTTTATTTCATTTTTGCCACTCTTAGCTTTTGAAATGTGTCACAATCGCCACTCCGAAAATTTTGCTTTTGCCACCGGAATGGCAATTGAGATAATTGTCAAAAACTAAGAGTGACAAAAGTGAAATGTCAAAATCTAGAGTGGCATAAGGAAAATTTGCAAAATCTAGAGTGGCAAAAACAAAATTTTCCCTTCTTCTGTAGCGGTTATGAGGAGGTAATGCGGTGGCAAAAGCTATCTCCCCTTTTTCAAATGACATAAAGGAAGGGAACATTAATGGGAATAAAGGAAGTAAATTGACAATAATAATAATAAAAGAAAACAAAAAACAGAAGTTTGAGAAAAAGTGGAAAAAAAGAAAAGGAAAAGATACTTATTTACAAAAAAAAATGTTCATAATTATATTTATTTTATTTAAAGAACAACTAAAAAGGGGAAAATAAAAAAACTCATATTTATATTTATTTTATTTAAAGAAAACAAAAAGAAGAAAAAGTTCTTAATTATATTTAAATATTCAAAGACAAATTAAAGAGAAAAAAGAAATAGGAAAGTTAAAATATAAGAAAATAATAAATTAAACTGAAACAAAAACTGATTTAAGAAACCAAAAATAAAAAAACCCACGTATTCCATTCCACACTAGGAGGCACATAAGCGCATGAGCATATTGGGCCAGCCTAGCACAGATTGATGCCTCATCAGACTGCATGTACATCATTTGTATATCCATGATCAAGAGGTGTTGAATTCATGAAGCTATGGAAGTTAGATGCGTATTGATAAGAGGAGATCTAAAATGAGCGTCAACAAATTTATGGATAGAGAGGGCATTAATACAAGGATATCCAAAATGAGGATATGTATTCATGCAAAGGTAAGCACTAATAATTTCAATATATCTATGGTCAAGCTGGATACTGCATTTCCGAACCGCCAATACATATGTGCATAGGATGGAAAATAATCATTTCGATATCCATGTCAAGATGCGCTGCATTTATGGCTATGCAGTAGACGTATTAATAACAAGATATCCGTAGTGAGTGTCAACAGGTCTGTGCACGACCAAATTGGATACTGCATTCATGAACCCCCACTATATGAACTTTATAAATACATGCATAGGCATCCATCAAACCGCACATCCATTTCAGCCTTAGGCATCGCCTACACACTTATCCTCACCACTCCTACTTTGAATAAAATTCAAGGTTTCTTGCTGGCCTTGCAACAATGGCAATAGCACAAACGACCACCATCTTCTTCTCTGCCATCACCATCATGCTCTTTTCCTCGTCAATTGTTGCTCATACTAGCGGTGATGTTGATGGCAAGCCGAAGGCAGCCGATTTCGTGACAGAAGCGTGCAAGAACGCTACAGCCAACTACGACAAAGAAATCCACCTCACAGAGAAATTCTGTGTCTCGACCCTCCGGTCGGACAAGCGGAGCGAGAAGGCAAAGGACCTTCGTGACCTGGCACTCATTGGCGTAGACATCCTCAAAGCACGTGTCGTCACCGCCAACGGTAAGGTCCAAGAAATGTTGCACAAAGCCAAAACTGGCACGTCGATGGCACGCCGCCTCACTTTCTGCAAGCTGGACTATGACGTGATGGTAAGCATCACGAATGTCTGCACCGCCTTGTTGAAGAACTACCGTGGCCCTGGCGGCGGTGACAACGATGGACCGGCATCTTTTGAGCTCCCACAATGTGTGGAGCAGGCGAACACCCTCAGTGGTTACTGCGCGTACGAGCTTATTGATATACCGGGGCTTCGTGCGTTGTTCAACGAAAATCTTGACATGAGTATGCTGGCCCACCTCAACATGGCCTTGCTGGCACCATATACAGACGACGATTCATAATATGTATTTTAGCCCGAGTGGTGTATGATGCTTCATTTAGAATAATAATAATGAGAGGTTGGTATATCATACTGCGAAAATATCTAGTACTACCAAGGCTTAGGTGGTACCGTGGTACGGGCTCCTGACCGTCGGATTTCCAGATCAGAGTGCTCCCAGTAACTCTGCAACATTTACAAAAAAAAGCCTGCTTGGAGTCTAAAAATTACGCATAGGTTTAGCAGATCCAACAGCTCCTAGATGCCGTCCGATCTGAGAATTTGATAGCCCAGGAGACCGTATCACGGTAGCACCTGAGCCTCGTTAGAAATAACTATTTCTCCACCAGTTTCTCAACCACTAAATCTGTGCAGCCATCTGTGCTCACTTTTTTGGGTTTTGTTTTTGATTTTTTCCTCTGTGCAAGTTTTATGTCCCTTTATACTCCCTCTATTCCTAAATGTAGTGCTCATAAAATTTCCTAGAAGTCAAACATTGTTTAGTTTGACCAAGTTTAGTGAGAAAAGCATGAACCAAAATAATACCAAATAAACATAATATAAATATATGCTTAATGATGTATCTAACACTACTAGATAAAGGGCTGTAGCCAATATGGATATTAATGGCACACCATGTATGTGGTGCGCCACTGTTATATGCTCACTTTTTTGGGTTTTGTTTTTGATTTTTTCCTCTGTGCAACTTTTATGTCCCTTTATACTCCCTCTATTCCTAAATGTAGTGCTCATAAAATTTCCTAGAAGTCAAACATTGTTTAGTTTGACCAAGTTTAGTGAGAAAAGCATCAACCAAAATAATACCAAACAAACATAATATAAATATATGCTTAATGATGTATCTAACACTACTAGGAAAAGGGCTGTAGCCAATATGGATATTAATGGCGCACCATGTATGTGGTGCGCCACTGCTATATATTAGTGGCGCACCAGGTACAGGTGCGCCATTAGTGTCCTCATTACTAATGACGCACCAGACACACGGTACGCCATTATTAGGATTTTTTTTATTTTTCTAAAACTATTAATGGCGCGCCAGTACTAACAATTTTTTTACTTTTTTTTCAAAACTAGTAATGGCGCACCACAATGAAGGTGCGCCACTACTAACAATTTTTTTTTTTGCAAAACTAGTAATGGCGCACGCCTAACTGGTGCGCCATTAGTAACCTGAGACCAGCTAGATATTTGGGACAGCCAAACCGACCACACTCACTTTCCTCACTTCATTCTCTTCATCTCCTCCTCCAAGCTTGTCTCGGCTGCCTCCTCCTCCTCACCTCACTTGCACCATAGATTCACCCAAATTAAGTGGCTAAATTACCTTTTTTTGATAGGTAAGTAAGGGCAAATCTTTCTTTATGTTGTAGATCTACTTTTTTCTCCCTCCAACAACGTGCACATGCACTTTTTATGGCCTAGCTAGATCTACATATGTTTGTGGTGTTGCATATGTTTGTGGTGTTGCATATATGTTTGTGTTTGCAGGTACCGGTATTTGAAATGCTATAGTTGCCAATATTTTGCCGGAATGTCGATTCATTTCCGTTTCAGCGAGAATTTGGCACTATGCATTCTTTTTGGTCCTATTTTTAGGCAAAGTCATGCCAAATTTTTCTTGGTTCTAAAATATCATTTTGCTCTACCCCGCAGGCGACCATGGTCCGCATGATGACCGAAGGCATCGTGAATAGGTTTTTGAGCTCCGCGAAGGCCGAGATGCTTCAAAAGAACGAGATGGAGATAAGATGTCCGTGTCGAATATGCAAGCTGAAGAGCCTTATTGCGGACCCGAATTCCGGACAGATGCGGGACCACCTGCTCTTGCGTGGTTTCATGGATGGCTATCGGTGACAGGGTGATGAAGATGACTATGAAGTCGTCCATGGGGGGCGGGCAAGAAGTGAGGAAGGGCAGCGAGAATACGAAGAATCTCGAGGACATGATCACGATGGTGATGCTGTACACAGTCATCATATAGAAGATGCCGGACATGATGATGAGGAAGATCAAGACGAAGGGCATGATCATGAAGATGAAGATGCCGGAGCAAACGACGATGGACCATCGAAGGGCTGGGTGCAGGACCCTCATATTCAAGAGCCGCTTCTCAAGCAGATGGATAACGCAAGAGCTGCCGCCCGAGAGAAATCCAAGCTGGATCAACTAGAGATAGACGCAGTTACTCCATTGTATGAAGGATGCAGGCCCAAGGATACCCGCCTGAAAGTAACGCTCATGGCTTTGGAGATGAAGGTAAAACACAAAATGACTGACGCATGCTTCGACGAGAACATGTCATTCTGGCACAAACGTCTTCCCAAGGGGAACAAGTGCCCGACCAGTTTCGAGGAGGCGAAGAAAATCGTGTGTCCTTTGGATTTACCGCACGTAAAATACCATGTGTGCATGAACAATTGCATCATTTATCGGGACGAGCACGCGGGGTCTACCATATGTCCGGTGTGCGGCATCACTCGATACAAGAAGAGGAAGAAAGCTCCTCGAAAAGTGGTATGGTACTTTCCGACCACTCCTCGTCTGCAGCGGTATTTCGCGGACCCTAAGCTAGCAAAGCTCCTGCGTTGGCACGTGGATAGGGAGGAGAAGAAGCGAGAAGATGACGGAAATGATCCGGAGATAAATAAAAAAGACAAGATGCTGAGTCACCCTAAGGATGCGAGCAGTGGCAAGCGTTGAACTTCGAACACCCAGAATTTGGGGCCGATCCAAGGAACATCGTGCTGGGCGCGAGCACCGATGGAGTCAATCCGTTTGCCAGCCAGAGAAGCACACATAGCACCTGGCCTGTGTTTGTGTGGATGTACAACCTTCCCCCTGGTTGTGCATGAAGAGGAAGCACATTCACATGAGTATGCTAATTGAAGGGCCGAAACAACCAGGGAACGACATCAATCTGTATTTGGGGCTGTTGAAAGAGGAGCTAGACATGATGTGGAAAATGCCAGCTAGTACGTGGGACGCCGCAGAGAAATAATATTTCCCTATGAGAGCCGCACTGCTCACGACGGTGCACGACTATCTCGGTTACGGATATCTCGCGGGGCAGGTGGTCCACGGATTTTCTAGATGCGTCAGGTGCATGGATGACACAACATATCACCAGCTAGATAGAGATCCCGGGTCTTTGAAAACTGTGTTCATGGGACATCGAAGGTGTCTTCGCGATGATGACCCATGGAGAAAACGCAAGGATCTATTCGATGGTGAAACCGAACCCCGAAGACACCTGCGTATGAGGAGCGGCGAGGAAATAGATGAGCTGTTAAAAAATTGGAAAGATTGCCCACTGCCGGGAAAGAAGCAAAAGGCGCCAGAGCCGGGAAAGAAGCGAAAGGCGCCAGAGCCGCTGCTGAAGGTATGGAAAACAAGGTCTGTTTTCTGGGACTTGCCGTACTGGAAGATCCACCGTGTGCCTCACAGCCTTGATGTCATGCATATCACGAAGAACGTGTGCGAGAGTCTGCTTGGTACCCTGCTCAACATGCCAGAGAGGACCAAAGATGGGCCAAAAGCAAGGGAAGACTTGAAATCAATGGGCATCAGGGAGGAGCTTCACGCTAATGATGATGATGATGATGATGAGGCGAAGCAGGACACGGAAAGTTGTCGCAAAGGCAAAAACACCAAGAAGCTCGGAAATGACTATCCTCACGTGTGCTTCACTCTAAGTCTGGAGGAGATCGAGCAGTTTTTCACCTGCCTCTTAGGATTAAAACTTCCTTACGGTTACGCGGGGAAGATAAGCAGATACCTAGACTTAGCGAAGCAGAAGTTCAGCGGGATGAAGTCTCATGACTGTCACGTGCTGATGACTCAGATACTTCCAGTTGCAATCCATGGGATCATGGACGCGCACGTCCGTGTAACGCTATTTGGCCTATGCAACTTTTTCAATGTCATCTCTCGGAAGTCGGTTGGCGTGAGGCAACTCAGAAGGCTACAGGAAGAGATCGTGGTGATACTATGCGATCTTGAGGTGTACTTCCCGCCCACATTCTTCGATGTTAAGGTGCATCTGCTGGTCCATATCGTGGAGGATATCAGCCAACTCGGGCCGACGTTCCTGCACAGCATGATGCCGTTCGAAAGGATGAATGGTGTCATCAAAGGATACGTTCGCAACATGTCACGTTGATACGTCCATTTTGCATCATGCTTTTATATTGATATTTATTGTGTTATGGGCTGTTATTACACATTATGTCACAATACTTATGCCTATTCTCTCTTATTTTACAAAGTTTACATAAAGAGGGAGGATGCCGGTAGCTGGGATTCTGGGCTGGAAAAGGAGCAAATATTAGATACCTATTTTGCACAGCTCAAAAGTCCTTAAACTTCACGGAAGATGTTTTCAGAATATATAAAAAATACTGAGCGCAAGAAGTTCACCAGGGGGCCACACCCTGCCCACGAGTATGTTTATGAATGAAAGAAGGGAAATAGATGAAGTATTCTTTAAACAGGAACCTATTCTGAAACACAATTTGCCTGTTGAAATCCTAGGGGACCCTCCTCCACCCAAGGGTGATTCCGTGTTTGAGCTTAAACCGTCGCCTGATACTCTTAAATATGCTTATCTTGATGAGAAAAAGATATATCCTGTTATTATTAGTGCTAACCTTTCAGAGCATGAGGAAGAGAGATTATTGAAAACTCTAAAGAAGCACCGTGTTGCTATTGGGTATACTCTTGATGATCTTAAGGGCATTAGTCCCACTCTATGTCAACATAAAATAAATTTGGAAAAAGATGCTAAACCAGTTCGTGATCATCAACAACGGCTGAATCCTAAAATGAAAGAAGTGGCAAGAAAGGAAATACTAAAGCTCCTTGAGGCAGGTATAATCTATCCCGTTGCTGATAGTCAGTGGGTAAGTCATGTCCATTGTGTTCCTAACAAGGGAGGTATTACTGTCGTTCCTAATGATAAAGATGAATTGATTCCTCAAAGAATTATTATAGGTTATAGGA